TTATTAATTCTCTGCAATTTGCCCCTCAATTATACAATACTCTGTGCTACACAGAAAACTTCTCGAATTGGGTCTGCCATTATAAGACATATGGTATGTAGAATACGGACAAGCATACTGCTACTTCAGCACCAGCACTTAAGTGATGTGTGGAAGTTGTGTGTTTGCCTGAACCCAGAATGCATTTTGAAGATGGGATAGAATGCAGCTGGATGAAACTTCTTGTTGTTGTTTTCTCTGCGTTTGAGATGTTGTTTCCTTCTGACTTAGATATCAGTGGTAATTCCATCAACAGTTTCTTTCCTGTCTTTCAGGTCTTGATACCAGATGACTACTCAGATCCATTTGATGCCAAAAGTGAATTAAACAAAATGAGAAAAGGGGAGAACACTGGCTATATGGAACCGTATGAAGCCCAGAGAATAATGACAGGTAAGAAGAAAGAATTGCAGATGTGAATGTGCGTGGTTTAATTCTGAGGCAGTTCACATGAGTACTCTTCTGAAAGCAGAATGTCTTTGGGCACATGGGCCTGTGTTTTTGAAGATGCCCAGGAARTCAGTGATAAATGTTGTGTAGGCTGTTGCAGCACTGTCTGCCTTGGCACCTAAATACTCCGCTAGATCTGGCAGTTCAGTATGGAATGAATTATGCCATATTGTAGGAACATGTGTGTTGGGAGTGTGCATGGCCCTGCTAGATACTGTCAAGACTTGTGTACATAGCAGGGATGACTGAGACATGACACTGCCTTAGTTGACTTAAAAGAATTACTGAGTTTCCTTGTGATTTTGCTTCTCTGTCTGATTTCAGCTTTTTGGTCCTGTCTTTGCGGGAGGAGGACTGCAAAGCTGCATCTTCGTGTTGTGTTCTGTGATTCTGGTGCTGTGTTTTCCTGTGTCTGTGGACAAAATGGGACTCTTCGGGATGTCTTTGAGCATTTAACTGCTATTCCTTATATCCTACTTCTTTTGCTGTCATGAAGGAAGGTGGCTTATGGCAGTACTTGTCCTCATATTATATAAGGTTTATAATGTAATTCTTACTCATGTGTTTTCCTCATAATGATCTGAATTCATTTCCTGTAAATTGGCTTTTGCAGTCTGTAAAGTTTTCCGGGGGCCTGAAGCCTTATCTTCTGTATTTATATAGGTTTGACTCAGTCAGCACATACCTTTGTGCAGGAGCAGTGGTGCATTTTTCAGATGTGCAGTAGGTCCTTGTAAGCTGAAGGTCACAATGAATCATTCTCTGTTGCCTAGTTAAGATGTTTGTGTATTTTTCTTTTCTAGTAGCACCTCCTGTTTTTGTTCTTTAGAAAAGATTAATCAGTGGGAGAAGGTGGGGTATTTTGATGCAAAGATCCATGTTGTCTGTTCCCAGTTTTCTTTTTTTTAGATAGCAAGCCTGATAAAAGGCACAGGAAATGACATGTAGAATGCAGTGTTTGGAAGCTTTCCAAGCTTTTTAAGGAAAGTGAGAGKTTTTATCTCCTTCATGTAAATCTCATTTTAGCTGAGGAATATTCAAATAAATAAATAAATTGGTTTGAATAGATTCTTGATACTTAAACGGCAGTGATGAAGCAGTGTTTTTTCCTCAGTAGAAATGTAATAGTGAGTATTTCAGATGTTAGCCTTGAAGTTGACAGTGCCCTGATTTCCCTCTCTCTGTATTTACGGCAAGAAAATATTCTGTATCCTTTTCCAGGGCTAGGCGTAATAAATGGAATCATAGAATCAYAGAATGCCGAAGGTTGGAAGGGACCTCAGAGGTCATCGAGTCCAACCCCCCTGCTCACGCAGGGTCACCYAGAGCACGTGGCACAGGGCTGCATCCAAGCGGGTTTTAAAGATCTCCAAAGAAGGAGACTCCACAACCTCTCTGGGCAGCCTGTTCCAGGCCTCTGTCACCCTCACTGTCAAGAAGTGTTTTCTCAAGTTCCTGGTGGAACTTTTGGTGCCTCAGCTCATGGCCGTTTCCTTTAGTTCTATCAGTGTCCACCACTGAAAAGAGGCCGCCCCCTCCTCCTCACTGCCTCCCTTGAGGTATTTATACACGCTGATCAGGTCCCCCCTCAGCCTTCTCTTCTCCAGGCTGAACAGGCCCAGCTCYCTCAGCCTTTGCTCACAGGGCAGATGTTCCAGGCCCCTGATCATCCTSGTAGCCCTGCGCTGGACTCTCTCCAGCAGCTCCACATCCCTGATTACATGGACTATACTGATTACGTGCACTATACTGAGTAGGTTAGCAGTCACTTTCTGTAATTTTACAATTTTGAAACCCTTGCCTACAGYCCCCTGGGTCAAATCAGTATTTGGTGCATCTGAGGATCTGGTGGATCTGCTATGTATGTTCTTACAAAGCAGGTGTGAGGAGCTCTCAAATGATGAAAGTATTTCCAAACACTGTATTTCCAAACACTGTGGTTTGATTAAATATATTTATATGCAGTTATCTTACAATCATGTTTATATATTAATTTTTAATTGAATATATTCAGTTAAACTACAGTGTTAGAAATACTTTTATCATACAACAAGTGTTCTGAATATCCCTTTGACCTGGCTTAATAACCCCTCAAGATGCCTAGTGCTTTTTTGACAGCTGGGCATTTAGTTTCCTGTCATTTYACCTGATGCTGAAAAAAGAAAAATAGAATAAGTCTTCCAGTGAACCAAGATTATTCGGTTTGCAATTATCATATGATTTTTTTTCTATTAGATAACTACTGCAGTGTAGCCATTCTAAAGCAAGCATTTTGGTTTAGTTTTATTTGGTCTCAAAATATTCTCTACTTTGTTTGCCATGTTTGTTAGTTCTSTGCTGTGTCGTGCTGTGTCTGATGGGCAAAATGTCCATTAAGTTGACTCGCCTGGTGAAATTCTTTAGCGTGCTGAGGATGAATTAATTCCAGACTGGAATCTGCTTTTGAGTACAGAGAACACTTCGTAAGAGACAAAGAAAACAAAATGAGTGTGTTGGGGAGGGGTGTCTTTGCCAGCTTCCAGAGGCTATTCTCTGTGCTTAATTTGAGCCTTTTTGTTTAAAGCCTGTATTAAAAATGCATAGCACAGATATGGGGAGGAGGAGAATCAGCTTTTCTCCACATCTGTGCTATACTCCACCACCTTGATCCGTTCAGGCTTGAAGTCCCCCAAAATACAGTCTTTCCAGACTTGCTGCATTAAGGGACACTTAATGCCAACCTCTCGAAAGGCTGAACCTGAAGCCAAGGCAGGGTATTGTGAACGCTTTTCTGTGCTTTTATTCAGATGTCATCTCTAAATGAGATCTGGTGGCCACTCACATCTGTTGCTTGGTGGATCATCCTGCATGTTTTTTCTGTTTTCAGGAAGCCCATGCTAGAAATACAAAGAAAATTCCTGGGGACCCCACTTACTCTCTTCTCAGGAGCTCACATGAGACATGAGATGGCTGATTATTTAAAGAATTGAGACTGTGTTTTTGTTGGTTGCCTGCTACTATTTGTTCAGTGACAGATTTCTCTACAGTGTCTCAGTTGACAAACTAAGATGACAAACTAGAAATTGAAGTGAATCAGAAGATAAATAAGAACTTATCACAGGGATGCGGTTGTTAGGGTGAGGTTGTTAAGGTTGTTCTGACTTCCAGTTGCAGCAGGATGTAAAGATACCACCACTTTTCCTGCTTGCTTTTTTTTTTTTTTTTTTTTTAATTTATTTTTTTTTTTAGCTCTGTAGAGCGGGATCTAGGTGTCATGCTGGACAACAACCTGACCATGAGGCAACAGTGTGCCCTCATGGCCAAGAAGGCCAAGAGGACCCTGGGGTGCATTAACAAGAGCATCTCCAGCAGGTCGAGGGAGGTGATCGTCCCCCTCTGCTCAGCCCTGGTRAGGCCACATCTGGAGACTGTCCACTTCTGGGCTCCTCGGGACAGGAGGGATGTGGAGTCCAGGGCTATGAGGATGATCGTGACCTGGAACATCAGCCCTGTGAGGAAACRCTGGGAGAGCTGGGCCTGTTCAGCCTGGAGAAGAGGAGGTTGAAGAGGGATCTGATCAGTGTCTATAAACACCTCAAGGGAGGGAGTGAGGAGGATGAGGCCGGCCTCTTATCAGTGGTGGCCACTRATAGAACGAGAGAAAATGAACACAAACTAAAGTACCAAAAGCTCCACAGGAACTTTAGGAAAAATTTCTTGACAATGAGGGTAACAGAGCCTTCAAACAGGCTGCCCAGAGAGATTGTGGMGTCTCCTTCTCTGGAGATCTTGCAATCCTGCCTGGATGCCACCCTGTGCTCTAGGTGACCCTGCGTGTGCGGGTTGCATGTGGTATGCTGGTTATTTGGACCAGAATTCACAGAATCACAGAATGGTTAAGGCTGGAAGGGACACCCGGAGCACGGGGCACCCGATCGCATCCAGGCGGGTTTTGAAGACCTCCAGAGAAGGAGACTCCACAGCCTCCCTGGGCAGCCTGTGCCAGGGCTCTGWCACCCTCACAGAAAAGAAGTTCCTGCTCACATGGAGATGGAACTTGGGGAAGGGTAGTTGTAACASTCACAGATTCTGGAATGACAAATCTTGAGTAGAGATTGATAAAAGTGGACTTACTTGCATAAGGAGCCATACATGATKAGGAGGACATTCTACTCATGCATTTTTATCTGTTCCTGCCCTTCAGTGGCTGTTTGGATGTTTAGGGATGTATAATTCCACTTATCCTGAAGCCAGTACATAAGGCACTACTTCCACTTCTTATACAGGTATACAGGCGAGATGTGTTGATACAGGTTTTGTTTGTATCCCTTCCTGGGGRGTGATGGCTCCCTCACCATGCGACTCTTGAATATAAACAATGTTTTCGGTAACACTCCTGTTCATCCCTTGACAGCTTAAGTTGGTGTGAGTTTTCGAATTTGATCCTTCAGTAACCCCTTCGTTCCGTCTGCTATTCCACTTGCTTGAGGGGTGGTATGGGATCTGTGAAATCCAGGTAATTCCCAGGCCCTTGGCCCGTTCTTGCACCAGTGTTGCTCACTGCTGTTTGCTCTCGCAGATCCTTGACCGGGGTCCCCGCTTTACCCACAGCGAGCATCCATGTCGCTAATGAGAGCTATCGGGGCCCCTTCCAGCAGCTGTGTTCCCCGTGAGGATCCAGCCGTGCTCCGTGGGGGTCCCTGCGCGGCAGGGCAGGGCGCCGCCCCGTCGCCTYGGCGCTGCTGGCTGCTCGGCATGGCGCGCCCGCACCGGCGCGGCCTCCTCGCCGCCGCACTGGCACAGCCACAGCGGTGATAGCGAGCTAGCCCAAAAGGACAGTGCTCTCGCAACAGATTCAAACACTTGCAGGTGACGCTTGTGTGTTCAGGCCAGTCCTCAAGGATGGTCAACATGTCAGGCAGTGTAGCTACCGACCAGTAGCTGAGTTTAGGGACGTTCAGGAA